CTAAAAAAATTATTTGTATGAATATTCAGGATAGGCTTCATGTGAGATTTTGGACAGACTTGTGGTTCCCGAGTGGTCATTTCATTGATATTGTTGGAGAGCTGGGTACACAAAAATTGGGTATACGAAGGAATGCCAGAATTTGCGATGTCTTTCTTGATAGAGACTGGAGATTTCGTAGGTGTCCATAACCAGCATATTCAAGATTCAATTCTTGACATTCGAACTTTTCCTATCAGCTTAGTGGAGAATGTAAGTGATGGAGTACTTTGGCGGAATGGGGAAGATACTTATGGTGATCGGTTTATTTCTAAGGTTAATTGGGATCTCACTAGAATTTGCAAGGAGAGTGTGGGTTGGAGCAAGGTGGTTTAGTTCCCACAGGGTGTTCTGCGATTTCCTTCATCACTTGGTTAGCTGTCAGGAATCGATTATCAACTGGTCATCGTACGAGTCAATGGGGCCATCCTCAACGCTGTCTCTTTTGTGGCGAACCTGACAAAACAAGAGATCATATATTTTTTGCATGTCCCTACACCTTCACTCTCTTGATTAAAATGGTTGGGAACCTTCTAGGGCAAGAGTGTGATCCTGACTGGGATATAACGATGGAGCACCTCATACTCTGCGACTTGTGCTGCTGGTTACCATCTACTATATATGGTGTGAGCGTAATGACAAGAAGCACAATAAATCATCAAGACTAGTCAATCATGTTGCTAAATTGGTGGATAGAACAATTAGGAATTGTATCTCTTCCACTGGATACACTTTGAAGCCAAGGCTTCGAGGGCTGATGAGAAGATGGTTTGAAGCACATATCATTTAAAATTTTGGCTCTGTTTCTATTCCTTAAACTATAAAAGGTTAGGTCATGTACATATATTCTATTGCGATGATCAATAAATTTGAAATTTCATAAAAAACATATTCAAAATAATACATTTAAACCAAAATAGCAAAATAATACATAAACGACAAAATTGAAGTTAACAAGAAAGATTTTAAAAATACGAACACATAAAAAATTAGGATACAACATTAAATAACAGAAAAAAATTGACAAATATTAAACATAATATAGTAAAATTTAAGAGAATACAAAGGTAGTGTTTACAATTTGTTGTTTTTTTTTTCATTATCTCACGATTTTAAAAGTAAAACTTTTTTTCTCTTTTGTTATTTTGTTGATGTTTTATGAGTCGTGACTAATGATTTATAAGTAGTTGGACTTCTTTTCAATCCAAAAATAAACTAAGTGCTTAGTTATAAATCTAAGTTTCCTAATTTGATTATTACTATAAAGAAGATTTTAATCCAAAATCTAGTTTCCATAAATAAAAATTTGAAACAAAAAAAACATTGTAGTTTAATATATTAATTACCATATGAATATTGCAGCTATATAATTGATAATTTATTAATATAATAATTTGAAACCTCCATAAATATAAATATAAAAATTTAAGTTGGTTAGGTATATATAAATTAGTTCGCACAAGGTGCGGATCATCATCTAATTAAGTAGTCTCTACTATAACTTCTCAACAGTTATTTATATGACTCTAAATTAAAATATTAGATATTAACAACTATTCTAAATTTGTGTATCTATCTAACTACATCAAAATTTATATGGACAAATAAGAGCCAAGTCTGACATAATATAGATTACAAAAGAGATGCTATTAGATCTATAGGCTATGGTTGTTGTGCAAAGGTGACATGAACTTTCTGTCCGGAGATGATGTTGAGCACACTAAGGTTTGGTCAACAACGATTTGGGACTACATAAGTATCATATAAGTTATTAACAACCTAAGTTTTTCTAAAGTTTCATTTTATCTTTTCTCTATAAAACTTTTTACATTAATGGTTGAAATACTACGAGTGAAATTGTTGCAGTTTCTATAAATAGATATGGCAAATGTTGTTATACCGACAAACATATTTTTGTATATTTGGTTGACATGAAACCCAAATAATAACAATTTGTTTATGAATGGTGATGTATGTACAATGGTGTATATTTATTCAACACCCTATTTTACACTTTTTAACAAACCACATCATCTTCTTTCTTTTCTAATATTCTAATTCAATATATATTCAACTTTTACTTCCACCTATTAATTTAAATATATTCAATTTTTACTTCCAAAATAGTTTGTTTAACAAATTCAACATCTTACCCAACCCTTTTATTTTATATATTTTATATTTGTATTTGTAAAAAATCAATTAATATGTATTTTAAAATCCAAAGAAAAATTAAATAAATTTAAATATAGATTACCTAGTTAAAAAATAAAACTATTTAGATAAAAAATGGTAAAACATTTTAGAAAATAATGAAAATATTATAGTAAAAGAATTTTTAAAATTATGTATCCAAATTAAATGATCTAAGTCAGAGAATAAAAATAAAAATATATAGCATAATTGTTTTTTTAAACATTAATTTTTACAAAATAATTAATCTAAAAAAAACTGAATAGAATGAAAACTAATGTGGTCACCACTTTTGGATATTTCAACATGTTGAATAAGTTCAACACAAAGTAATCCATGTCATTTTCCATTGTTTTTCAACACCCTCATTACATTTGAATCAACAGTTGAATCATTGTCTCAACATCCTCATTGCATGTGGCCTAGCTATCCTAGTGGAATTTTCTAAAGGCATTTATAATTATGTGGTCTCCTAAAAATTAAAGTAGTTTTTTAATTGATCTTTTTTTTGTTTATAGCAATTTTATTTCTCGATGATCAACAGACTCAACATGTCAATAGTGTAAATAAGAGATATGCGATAAAGGTAAGCTAATATAAAACAATGTCACACATTTCGTTTTTTTTGTTTTAATTATTAGTAATCATGTTTGATATCTCATGTAGACAAAAAAGGGGAGAATCATATCAGTTGTATTGTATGTAGTAGGCCTAGAGTATGTCATGTAAATTTTCATCTCATTACATCATAGTTAAAAGATTGCTTATTTACTAGTATTATTTAAGACCATGAATAGTTTCATCACTCGCATAACAATTTTTTTTCAATTCCACACACATCTTGTATGAGAGTAAATATTCAATTGAAAGTGAAATCTCCATTTATGTTCAAGTTTTTGTTCATAAAATGTTAAATTTAAGATTTGACTATGTGAAATTAAAGTGGGAAAGCTTGTAAATACCTATGACTTTTTCAGAAAAAACACACAATTATCAATAACTACATGATATGCACAATCAGTTTATTTGTTGAGGCCACAATCATTCAAAAATAACATAAATATTTGTTCCCGCATATTAAGATGGTTATATTTGATTACTTACTTCTAGTAATGTAAAATACTAGAAGTAAGACCGAGAGATTTGAAGATGATTTTGATAGAGATTGAAACAGACTATTCGGATTTAGTGGACATATCTACTATACCGGAGGACTGGCCGTATTTCGCGATAGAGATCAAGATGTTTCAGCGATTACAGGAAGATTTTGAAGATGTGAGTTTGTCTCATATTCTGTGGAGTAGAAATAGACGAGTGGATGCACTAGCTAAAGAAGCAATGAGTTGAGGCTATTCATTTTCTCATATAGATCAGACCCGGTCAGACATAATTTATTCTCAGGGAATCGACTTGACTGATCACCACTTGATCTAGTATAAATGAGCGACTGACAAAAAAAAATATCGTAAAATACCACTTGGAATGTAAAGTTGTGATGTTATTCTTTTTATCAAATATATATGACCACTTATTAGTAAATCATGTAGAGCATAACCACAATTTTAATTAATTAATCTTTCTGGATGATTAAATTAGGTGAGTGAACATTTATCCTCCCAAGTCTCTCTATGAGCAGAGTGGAAATTTGTATGAATTGTGTTAGGAGTCTAAAGACCACATAGTACCAATCAACATCCGGTAGTGATACGACTGACGGGGAATTACAATCAAATGCATATTACATGGAGTATATTATTAAAAAAAATATTTTGTCTACATTTAATACAATGGATATACATTTAAATGGAGTAGTATTTTAATATGAGTGATAAATTGAATGAGAAAGTATATCTCTTTGGAAATACGAATAATGAATCTAGAAACGCTAAAATAAATAAATGTATCCAGGAAAGACAACTCTTAGTCTCTTAGAAAAAATTTGAAAATGATTTTGTTCCAAAAGTCACATAATTTGCAGCTCTTTGGAGTTAAAAGTGACAAAAGCTACAAACTCCTACACTTCTATCACAAAGAGTTATCATTAGACAAAAGTAACTACACATAAAACTTTTTATATAATTATATGTTCCAAACATTTTTTGTTTCTTCAGTCGAAAGTCATTACAGTGACTGTTCTGAGAACACATCATAAATTCATAATATCTGAACAATTTAAAGTAACAGCATCACGGCCAAAACTGTTACCCACACAACCAAAAGCCTCTTCGTAATCACTGTCTACATTTCTCGGAGAATCACACGGTTCTGATACCTTCTACGGTTAATCAAAAACACGTTGAAGTAGTAAATCACAAGATGATCTCTCTTCTTCCCCTTGAATCACTTTGCAGCGTTCTCCCAAACGCTCAGAGAATCTGAAACATCAGTTTCTTGAACATCTTCTCTTCTCTCTCTGTCCATCTTAGAGACACTTCTTCCCCCATCTGATTGAACCTCCAATGGAAAAAAATACATCGCCGAGATCGCGTTTTAGCTTCATTCTCCTTTACACTAACCGAAGTTAGATTATAGATTAAAGAGCAAATTAATCTGTCACATGCATAGTCAGATAGTGAAAATGAGCATTTATATTGAATCTGTGTCAAAAAAATTAACTGTAAACTGAATGAATATAAAGATGGCAACCTTTCAAATTTTTTGGAATATTCAAAGATTCAAGTTTATCATGAACAATTTATTGAAAACAAAATATATATATTGCGAACCGCAAGCCATTTATTTGATTAGGTACAAACTCATTACAATACTCATAACCCTTAAAAAGAACATAATAACCAAGAAAATACAGTTGGCCTTAGCAAGATCTTGGTATCATTAGTGACCGCAAGAACTACGACTTGGACCAAAGATTAACTTACGACCCGAATAAATTTTCTTCTTCGACTCTGTTCTCTCGTACTTTCCCAATCCACCTCCAGGAACTAGCCTAATCACGTCGACGTCGGAACCACGATACGGTACCATTGCCTTTGAGCACGTCAAATAAACGATCAAGAAGAGCATAACTTTGAGAAGCTTTTTCATCTCTAGATACTTAAGCACACTTTATCTTGACTATTAAGTTTTGAGGAATAATCATTTGCAGTTTATAGGGCTTTTTGTTGTTGTTTTCCATGTGATTTAATTCATATTATAATAAATTAATTTTATTGACTGATAGTACACCCGTGGAATATCTATTACTAGTATATGATAACTCACTTTTGCCTCACCAAGGTTTGACAAGTTAGCACCCTTGTATTTGACACATAAGCCTAAAACTTGTTTTCAACATCAACTTATCATTAGTTTGTGACCATAGTAACGATTCCCTCCTTCTATTTAATTTGGTTAACATTGCATTTATGTTTCACCTTAAAAGATTAGAATTCAATTTCCAAAAAAAAATCAACTCATGTTCACGAGAGCTCTTAATTTCTTCTTTCCTTTTGTATAGTCGAGTGTTTTCAACTTTCACAACTGTTTTTTAACTCTTAGAAGATTGTCTGGATGCAAACACAAAGGACAACGTCATCAAAAAGTCGCAGATCCATGGCTTCATCTGATTTTGATGGTATTCTCTTGGGCAAGGAACCCGACTCCTTGACATTTCTGCCGTAGAAGTCTACGAATCAATAAATAAGTAATCTATAACCATCACTTCAGGAATGTGTTCGGATCTAGATTGTTTGCGTAAGATATTCTTCTGAGTTTTTCGGACTTTTAATGTTTTCATCTGTAATGGTGACATATATGACATCATGTTAAACAAAGTGGTTTGCGTGGTGGACAAACGTTTGCATATGTAAAGATTATTACTTTTCTTTATCCAATAGATTCTCCAAAATAGCTTCCGTTTTGAAATCTTTGTTAGTGAGTATCTCTTTACACTGTTTGTAATCGTAGTAAATGTATAAATGGACTCTTAGATTTGATATGACAAGAACTACAACAAAACAAAGCGATCTTCTCTCAATGTTAAATGTATCTACGCCTTTTTCCGAACATTCTTGTTTTAAAATCTTTTTTCAGAAGAATAATATCCTTGATGTTTGGTGTGGAAGCAATGAAATGGTGTCTAATAATGCGGAATTGGTTACACTAAAGGACACAATTTGTGTTTTTCTTACACAGGAAGAAACAATGCACATGTGGGGCACTTTCCTCCTACTTCCCCTTTGTCTCGACACATGACAAAGACTATAGTAACCTTATGCTAGCGAACAAACCAAACTGGAAAGGACAATTGGTTATTATGTGTGGTTCATTTGTCTTCTTTAAACCACAATTACTTTATAGGTTTATGGATTTTTGTGTCTTCTTCTTAACCGTTGGATGTTGATTTGTATTTTGAAATCAAAGGCCAGAATTTGAGGAACCTGAGTAGGACAATGACGTGAATTTATTGTGTCTGGTTTTGGGGAGCTGTTTGTACAACAACGTTTTTTGTCTTCTCTTCNTGGTTCATTTGTCTTCTTTAAACCACAATTACTTTATAGGTTTATGGATTTTTGTGTCTTCTTCTTAACCGTTGGATGTTGATTTGTATTTTGAAATCAAAGGCCAGAATTTGAGGAACCTGAGTAGGACAATGACGTGAATTTATTGTGTCTGGTTTTGGGGAGCTGTTTGTACAACAACGTTTTTTGTCTTCTCTTCTGAGGTTGTTCTTTGGATAATTTGGAGGTGAGATTTTGGCCAAGATTTGTGTTCCAGAAATGTTTTCCATGGTTTATGTTTCTTGATTTTTATTCGGTATACTGAGTTTGTTTGTTGAATGTTTTTTGCAGTTCGTTGTAATGGAGGACCACTGCATGTTCATGTGCGGTGAATGGAGTTGTGATAACGGTGGGAAGTGGGATTTCGTTCTTGACAAACGTCAGATGTCGCGGCTTGTACCTCTGCATGACGGAATAAGTTTGAGAGAGCTTCAAGGCAACGTCTTGCGTGAGTTTGGTGTCGACGAGGGTTTTTTTGTGGCTGCGCTTAGCTACTGGCCGCCGAGCAGCTTGGAGCTTGTGACGGGGATAAAGACACCGCCGGTACTATTAACAAGTAATGGAGCCATAAGATACTTCCTGCAGCACTTGAGAGTGAAAGGAGCTATGAATATGTTTGTTAAATTTGATAGGAGCGTTGATGATACGGGAATAGGATTTGTTACTCCTTCGACTTTAAAACCAAATGTTAGCTCTGTTTCTTCGAAACTTCAACAGAGTATTCAACAAAGAGACATGAACAAAGTCTTTAACTCCTTGCCAAAGAAGACTTCAACAGAGGGTCCAAAAGAAGTTTCCAAAAAAAGGTGTAGAAGAAACTACAAAAGAGTCTAGAAAAGCTGTTGTTGTGAATCTTGAGGATGTTGAGTTTGGAAGTGATGTTGAAAGAGGCGTGAGATCTGAAGGGTATGACAAAGAGATGGTTGAGGAAGAGATAAAGGATGGTAGTGTGGACGGAAAGGAGGGAGTAGTAAGCAGTAGCAGTGTATGTGAAGATGATGTTTTGGAAGCCGTTGATGACAGAGACGTGAGACCTCGAGGGTATGACAAAGAGTTCTGGAGTCCACTACTAACAGGCGACTACTGTGGATCAAATGCTGTAAATGTTATCTACAATGAGGATGAGATTGTGGAGGAATTGAAAAGGAAAAGTGGTCCATACCGATACAATGGCACCACAAACGGCGGTTTAGACAATGTAGTGGAACTTGGTGGTCCAAGCAACGTCGTGCTGACAGACACACAAGGATTGGAGGATACTATGATCCGTGGACGGGAGTGGACGACAGTAATCCACGTGTGGACAGCAGTCCGCGATTTGAAACAAGAAAGCTGGATGAAGTAGATGATGAAGAGTTTGACATACCACCACTTTTTGATTATACAAGCTATGTTGCAGCAGAGATACCAGATATGGACTTGGAGGAAGGTGATGGAAGGATCTATGTGGGCAAGGTGTTTGGTAACAAACAAGATTGTCAAATATCTCTTGCTATTTACGCTATAAGGAACCAGTTTCACTTCAAGAAAACTAGGACCGAAGTCGATTCATTTGTATGCGAGTGCCCTGATACAAGGTGTGATTGGTGTGTCACAGCTCATGAAGTTAGGGGTTGTGGCTATTACGAGATACGAAAAGCTCAACTTGATCATACCTGTCCAATAGAGTTTAGGCAGGGATATAAGAGTAAAGCAACTTCCCGGGTGATTGCTGCTGTTTACAAATCGAAGTTTGGTGTTCCTGGGAAGGGTCTAGTGCCGTCTGAATTGCAGAAGCTTTTGCTAGAAGATCTTCGTGTGACTGCTTCTTACATGAAATGCTATAGGGCGAAAGAGACAGCTGTGATCGGTAATTTTGGTTCTGAAGAAGATTCGTATTTGAAACTTCCTGAGTATTTGCACATGTTAAAACTTGCAAATCCTGGGACGTTTGCTGATATTGAGACTGAGGTTGATGAGGACGGCGATGAGCGGTTCCTTTATCTGTTTCTTGCCTTTGGTGCTTCTATAGAAGGTTTTAAGAAACTACGTCGTGTGCTGGTTGTAGATGGAACACACTTAGGCGGTAAGTACAAAGGTGTGTTGCTCACGGCAAGCGGACAAGATGCAAATTTTTAGATTTTCCCTCTAGCATATGCTATTGTGGATAGTGAAGATGAAGAATCATGGACTTGGTTCTTGATGAAGTTGGAGAGGATATTAGCTGATTCAAGTAGTCTTGCGATAATATCTGACCGTGCAACAAGCATTGCAACAGCTGTGAAACGTGTGTATCCTTCTGCTAATCACGGGTATTGCATTGTTCATTTGGCTAGAAACGTCAACTCACGGTTCTCAAGCAAAAACTTAGCAAAAATGGTGAATTTGACTGCAATGGCTTATCGTCAAGGAGATTATAGGGATCTATATAGCAAAGTAAGGGTGCAGAGAAGCGAGTGTGGTGTTTATTTGGGTAAGATTGGTGTTGCGCATTGGACAAGAGCGAACTTTCCTGGGGAACGCTATAACATCATGACTAGTAACATAGCAGAGCAGTTAAACCATGCCCTTGGGGAGGGGAGAACGTCACCTATAATGGAGTTGGTCAAGTTTATTCAAAGAATGATGACAAGGTGGTTCTTTGCAAGGAGAAAGAAGGCCGGTAATCACAGGGGTATGATTAGTGTGGAGGTGGACAAGGAGATGACAAAGAATATGGCAACCATGCATGAAGGGGAGTAAAGTGAATTCTTCTACTGAATGGAGTTGTGAAATTTTAGGCAAGTTTGGTCGTAAGGAAAGGGTGAATCTCGCCAATAAGCAGTGTAGTTGCAAGTATTTTGATAAGATCAAAATCCCCTGTGGACATGCTCTGATTGTTGTAGACAGTTTGGGAGTCCCTTACGAGACTTTAATTGGTCATTGTTATAAGACATTAACATGGAGGGAGACATATGCTGGGGTAATAAGTCCAGAAGGAGATCCTCGTGATGTGGATATCCCTGAGGAGGTGAGGAGGATGGTCTTGATGCCCCCTGTGACAAAGAGATAACCAGGTCGCAGGAGGAAAAATAAGATTCCCTCGATTGGTGAATTCCCGGTAAGGTTATTATCTGTAGATAAACTTTTTTAGTGTTGGAAAATGCATTGTTGATGAACACAAGTGATTTATTCAGGTAACCAAAAAGACGAAGCATGTTCCGAATAAGTGTGGTAGGTGTCGTATTGAAGGGCATAACCGTAGCAGCTGCACAAACCCAATCTAGACGGATTTGTGGAGGGTTTTGATAGATTTGTGGACGGGATTAACGTGGACGGCTTTTACGTGGAAGTATTTGTTCTATGTTAGATGTTTGTTGGAGGAGAAGATGTTTTTATGGAGTTTGATCATCCGTTAACGGATTTGTTTTGTTTTGTTTTGCTTTGCTGAGAGGATATTTGAGTAATGTGTTTGGCTGAGACAATATTTTTGCTTGTTACATGAATACTCTTGTTGAATTGAATGTTTTGTTTGCAACTGCTTTATGTTATGGTTTAATGAAGAGAATTGTAGGGTGACAATTGTGACTCTTACCAGAGTAATTGATTTGTGGAACAACCATTGATCATAATAATTCCTACTCAACCATAAATGAGCAACAAGAAAAGAACGAAAACAAAGATCTTGTTTTAATCCCTCCAATCCAACAAACATAACAGTGCAACAACATGAGAAGAAGGCATTTTTTCAAGAAGAACACTGAAGAGCTAATAAAGGTAGAAGAGCTAATCAGCAACTTAAGAACAAGCAGTGGAACAACATAAGTCATATCTTCTAGAGGTACGTTATAGGAGCTTCCAATAGAGGTAAGTCATAGCTCCCAAGATTGTGACTGCAACTGCTGTCTTTGAGTAGATGTGAGCATTGAATTGTGCATCAATTTGTTCTTTCATCTGATATGTTGCCTCATCTAGCGACTTAGTCTGGTTCAGCATGTTTTCGTTCATTTCCTTCCGCATCTCTTCAGCCCTACCCAAGAACCATGAACGCTGAGACTCAAGCTGGAGATTCATCTTTTCGGTAAGTGCTTGCAAGTTGTGTAGTGCATCTAGACGCTTGGCATCTACCATTTTTATCTCCTCAAGTAGTGCCTCGTCTATCCACTTAAACAAATGGGTCTCTGCTTTTCTCTGTTCACATCACCCCCAATAAATGGCCGTTTAAAGAAGAAATCAGAATCTATGAAATAGAGATAGTAGAATTGTGAAATCTGAACCTGTAAAGCAATTTTGCATCTGTAGAATCGAGGTCTCTGCTTTTCTCTGTTCACATCACCCCCAATAAATGGCCGTTTAAAGAAGAAATCAGAATCTATGAAATAGAGATAGTAGAATTGTGAAATCTGAACCTGTAAAGCAATTTTGCATCTGTAGAATCGACGGTAAGGATTCTCCTTTGTCTCTGAGACCCAAGTATCGAGGCCTTCTCCACACCAGCATCTAGTTGGGACTCCGTAGACGTTTCTGCGGGCTCCTTTGCGGGAAGTAGAGGATGATGAGCTGCTCATGGTGGGTGCTTCGAAGTGAGAACCCTAATTCGATTTGTGTGGGATCGAATTATAAAGAGTGGTTTGGTTGAGGATTAAAGTTGGTTTCAATTGGTTGCCAATTGTAAACCGGATTTGGTTTTCGATGACCCTATCCACACATTTAATTGTGGACGGCTATGTACAGTGTCTCATCCACACTCATTTTGGTTTGATTTTATTAACAATTGATAACCGGTTTCATTTGCTACCAAAGAAAGCGATACGTGAACTGGATTGAAATTGGTTATGAAATTGCCAATTGATAACCTGTTTGATTTGTTATAAAAAGAACCGAGATTTTAGTTTTTTAAGTTGGTTTGATTTGTTTTCCAATTGTAAACCGGTTTGGGTTTTGAAAGAGCTATCCAAACATTTAATTGTGGACGGTTATGGACATTGTCTCATCCACACCGAAATGGTTTGTGTAAGGATTGAAATATGTTAACATATTATAAGGAGAAGTGCAGGAAAAAAGGAGATAGAATCCTGTTAGTGTTGATCGTTAACATATTATAAGTCATAAAGGAAGGACATAGAGATAGGTTTAACATATTACATTGGTTGTGGTATCAACCACAAAAAGATAGAAGAGGGGAAGTTATCAACCTAAAGATCCATAGTAAGTAGGTAATACAATGGTCTTGTATATGTCAAGTACGTACTGTTTGCGGAAATCAGCAACATGGCGGTGAGTGAGTGTGGACATGTGAAGTTCAAGCTCCCCTTGTGCGTGCAGTTCAAGGAACTTGGCAGATACAGGTCCACAGTCGCCACCTCTTTCGTTGATGTAGAGGTCTGGGACACGATGCCACTGAAATGGTTCAAGACCACGGAACTGAGTAATCTGGTAGTTTGCAACCTTCTTAACAAGATAGGGTAGTATCTTCAAGACAGGAGCCATGTAGCGAGCAACAGTCTTGTCGCTGTATAAAGTAGGTAAGGGATCTAATATTTCAACAAGCCCCAAGTCGAGATTTATCGCAAGACCAACCCAGTGTTTGTCAGCCCATATCATGGGTGTGTAGACAGTAAACACATCTTCCATCCATTTTTTCCCTGGCTGGAGAACAAGATCCGTCAGTTTGTTGTCCCATTGGAAGCTTTCTCGCTTCCTTGACTTGTTGAAAAGCTTGGATATTGCTTGGATTCCAGATGTAAGGTGAGGGGTAATGAAAGCTAGGTTTTGCTCATGGAGGAGACGTCCATGACTTGCACCTATCATGTGCATGAGGATTTCCATGTGCTGCACATAAAATCCAATAAAGCTATTACTAATCATATGTCAAAATCAAATAAAGCTATTACTGGTAAAGGATGTGATGAATTTGTACATAAGTTGTTGTCCATTGAGAAGGCTTCGCTAGTTCAAGTAGGAACTTGTTGGAGAAGTCGAATTTGGATGGAGTTATATGAAACCTGTGTCCACAAGGTGAAAGGGTAAGCTTTAAGAGATGAAAACAGTAATGAAGAGCTGAAATGGACTTACGCAGTTGTGGAGTTGGAAATAGTCTTCTCGAAAAGATCCCATTCACTTTGGGGTAACAGACATATAGTACTAAGAGCTGGAATAGCTTTGGAGCGGTAAAGCTCTTTTGCAAGGATGTTCTCCTCAATTGATGGAATGTGCTTGGGCCGTTCTCTTGCAGGAGAGCCGTCGCTCAGTTCACAAATCTCATTTTCTTCCGTTGGTTGATCCTAGACAAAAACAACATAGGCATTGGAGTTAAGAAAGTAGTTTGTTTTAAAAAATGCAGAGGAGCATTAAGTTTCGCACCTGAGGCTTGGGTACATTGTATTCCACAACAGAGTCATGGGTGGATGTAGCGGTGGCTGAGAATGCGTTGATACCTGACGCATGGCCTACGAAACCTTGGAGAATGTCTGAACTCTTATTGGGAGAAGTAGAGGGGGTCAAAGGGAAGGGTGAGAGTGGAAAAATACGTCTTTGCGTAGATGGATTGATTGAGGAGTCGTATTTAGGTTGAATGAGAGAGGGGGGGTCTGGACTTATGGGGTCGAAGATTAGTTTACCGTGGTATAGGATATGGTTGATTTCAGGGCTATCAGGGTGCTCACTAGCATCGTATATGACACCATTCCGATATTGAGAAGGTTGAGTTGGCTGAGTGGGGGTTCTTTCTTGGATGGGTGTGTCGTTGAAAGGGTTGGCAAATGTGTGGTTGGGAGAAGTGTTCGGGGGTGTTATGGAGAAGTGGGCGTTATGGACAGGGGTGGAGGTTTTGATAGGAGAGGTGGAGATAAGTGATGTGTGGATAGGAGATGTTTGGGTAGGGGAAGTGTGGATAGGAGAAGTCTGGTTAGGAGAAGTGTGGATAGGAGAAGTCTGGTTAGGAGAAGTGTGGACGGGTTCAGGAGTTGCTTCCTTTCGTAACATTTGTGCCTTGTATTGGCTGATAACAGGAGATTGAGTGAAAGTGTGATCTTCATCCATAGCCTGTATAGCAGTAGAGATAAGACAAAAATGTTTCACTGTGGATGGAAAATTATAATTATAACCAAACAGGAACATACCGTAGGTAGGTTTGGTGACTCAGTCTGACATGCTTTGTCTGCTTGGTTGATTTTTGTTTTCTGTTCAACAAATTTGTGGATCAGCCTCTGCTTGTTTTGAATGTTGGATATTTGTTCACAAATTCCAGACAAAAGCTCCAGAATTTTGTTGTTTGAGGTTCGGGAAGAAGCTGCAGCCTGGAAGTAGTTGCTTATGCATCTCTGCTTACGGTGCGTGACACTTATCTTTCGTGTCTTCCTTGGTTTTAGAACTTTTGGTGAAGCTGGTTTAGCCTTGCGAGTGGAGGTGCGAACTGTTCTCAAAAGAATAGGGTCATCATCATCACTTGAATCGCTGACATCGAAAGTAACAGATGTGTCTCCACCATGCCAAAATTCCTTCTTGAAGGGCCGATGGTCAGCTACAAGTATGACACACGATCGTCGTTGAAGGCATCCGGCCAAACTCCCCAACCAGGCTGTGGTTGGCTCTTTATAGGTATCAATGATGTTACTTCAAACTGGAGTTAAAGAACAAATCGTTAACCAAATGTTGAAATCTCTTCAGATCATAAAAGCAAGAATGTTTGAAAACATAGATTATTTGAAAAGATGTTAGAACTTACATCAGGGTCGGCTTCCACGCTTAGAATGTCTACCATTGCTGGCGCTGGGTAGTATGGGAAATGAGGCTCTTCAAGGTCCATGATTGTATGAGAATCAAACGGGATTGGAATTGTTGACTGCAGTTTTGGGACAGTTTGGTATGCAAGCAGTTGTAGTGCCAGGGGGAATCCTTTAAGCCTGACACTATTCTGCTTGAGTAACTGAACCAATGTTCCAATAGGGTCTTCGCATTTCAAAGGGACGAACTCCAGAGGTTTCATGCAAGTAATAGTCTTGATAAAAGACTCTCTACCCCAAGGGTGTAAGCAAAAAGCGTCAACGTCTTGGACCATTCTAACATACTTAAGAGTAGGCCGTGGGGATTGTTGATGAGCAATGAGTACACCATAGACAATTATAATCAAAGCAAGCTGTAGCTTTTGATGACCCGTAATGTGTTTGTCGGTCTCTAGCTTCTTCCGTAAATCAGCAATGGAGGTGAATCTCTTTTTTCCAATAAGCTTGATCCACATAGGATCCTTGTGTGCTTGAGACTAGTCTTCATAATCAGTGGTGTATCCAACAGGGAAAGCTCCACAAGGTAAACCGGTGATTGTGCCAAACTCTTGGAGGCCGAACTTAATAGGATCGCTTCCGAAAATATACCAGAGGATGTGTTTGTCTTCACAAACTAGTTGTCTGGACAACATAGCGTGTATTAACTTACAAGAAACCCGACATTGACGTGCTGGAAGGTCAAATAACTTCCCGAAGCATGAATTTTTAAGAAAGTCGAACTCTTGGGTGTCCCGGAGAACATGACGGATGACGGCTAGAAGCTCTGGCTTCTCGTAAATGTTGAGACGACCATTGGGAAAGAGGTCGGTGGCGAATAGTCTAGGTGGAAGACGGTGGTCCTCTTGATTGTCACCTGAAAAAGAGAGAAGATGAAGAAATCGAAAAACAAAAAATGAATGGAACGGCGGAGCTAATTTGGATTGAACTTGAACGGCGATGAATCTGGGTTCGAACCATACCTTCCATGACTTGAAAACCTTCGGATTGTCCTTTGAAGACTGAAAGGAGAGTTGTGAGGTACGGCGGTGATACGGAGGAACAGAGGGAGTGGGATCGTCGTTGTGAGGTACGGCGGTGCTACGGAGGACCAGAGGGAGGAACGGCGGGATGGGAACGACGGAACATCGGAAAGCACGGTCGGAGCAAGGAGAGGATGAGAATCGATTTCTAGGGTTTTGTCTAATCGCCGCTTCTTCCTCTGACGATAATATCGAAATGAAAATGAGATTTGGTTTGGTACGTGGGTGTGCTTTGGTACACACTGGTTTTAAAATTTGAATTTCAAAAATAAACCGAAATGAAATCCCAAATAAACCGATTTCGAATTGGTCAGAATCACTAACCAAACTGGTACAACTTTCTAATCAATAAAGGGTATGTAAGTCTTTCACTAAGGGCAAAGTATGTTACATGTGGAATGTCTCTTGGATTGTAAATCCAAAGATAAAAAATTTCTTAGAGGGTAAAAAAATCAATAATGTGACACTCAAATAATGATATACATATATCATGTTTGCATTATCCATTGGCTTTAAGATCTTTATAATTTTTTTGTGATGAATGAGAATTAGAGGCCAAATTGTTTTTTGATAGTCCAAATTATATATCAAACGAAAGAATTATTATTCGTTTTGATAGTCAATATTTAATCCACTTGTATATAATTAAAAAATGTTTAAATGACATTTAAAAAAAAAGAAGTATCTTACATCTTTTAAGATTTTTCACATATATTATTAAATCTTTGCTTTGTCTATAGTTAATACAATGCATATATACATTGAAATGCATATAAAATCAAATTTATCATAAATAAAATTTTAAATGACCAATGGAGTAATATTTTGGAATAAGAGTGATAAATTGAATGAAAATAAAATATATTTGAGTGACTCTTTGGAAATAGAAATAACGAATTTAGAAAAACCAAAATAAATAAATTTATCCAAGAAAAAAACTCTTAAATAAATAAATGTATTTAGAAAATTCTGGAAGTCGATTTTGTTTCAAAAGTCACACCATTGGCCAAACTTTGGATTTAAAAGTCAAAAAGATACAAACTCTTACAATTCTATCACAAAGAGTTATAATTAGACAAAAGTCCCAAAACATAAAAACCTTTTTTAATTATGTTCCAAACATCTTCTGCTTATTTAGTCAAAAGTCATTACACTGACTATTCTGAGAACAGATCATAATATCTGAACCAATTAAAGTAACAGCATCACGACCAAAACTGTTACCCACACAACCAAAAGGCTCTTCATCATCACTGTCTACATTTCTCGGAGTCACACGGTTCTGATACCTTCTACGGTTAATTAAGAACACGTTGAAGTAGTAACTCACAAGCTGTGCTCTCTTCTTCCCCCTGAAACACTTTGCAGCATTCTCCCAAAAACTCAGAGAATCCAAAACCATCAGTTTCTTGAACATCTTCTCTTCTCTCTCTGTCCACCTTAGAGACACTTCTTCCCCCATCTGGTTGAACCTCCAATGGAAAAACACATCGCCTAGATCACGTTTTAGCTCCATCCTCTTCTCTGCAATGTGGAATCTAATACATTCAACAGAACCAGGTGTGTGGATATCACAGCTGCAACAATCTGGCCTTCCTTTTCCAAGTGAACGGTCCAAAACTTCTCTGTTTTCCACTAGCCATATACGTGTCCCTAACCATTTAGTATCACTATCTAAACCAGATCCTCCTGTCCATTCATCGACTCTGGCTTGGTAATGACGTCCGACAGCCACATACCTTCTCGGTATCTCTGGTTTGTTTGTCTCTTTGACTGCATTTGAGTACACTTGCAAGTCCGTGGCTCCAGATGTTCCTGCAACAAGATCTGTTGTGGATTCACAAACAGAGATCAACTCTCTGCAATGGCTAGATCTTGACTTAGTTAGAGAGACTGGACTTTTATTGCAATGTGATTTGGATAGATGTAGACGCCTTATGCTGTATCTTGACCTCCCTGTGGACCTACGATCGTCTTCGTACATAGAAGGATGCATTTGATTACCCTGCAAGCACTTACCATTAGAGTAAATCTATGTCACAGTAATAAAAATAAAGCATACATAGAAAGACAGTACCAGGAATGGAGAGTTTTGATATCTGACTTCAGCATTGTCTCTTCTAACAAGCAACGCTTTCTTTGCTCTAGTAACTTTGATCCAACACTCGTTTCCAGTGTGCTCCTTCCACTTTGAGCAGTGTGGTATTACTCCAATGGAAGGATCATGAGGACATAAGGCAACAGAAGTAAGCCATTTTAACATTCCCTGTAAGGTTTCTTGCTTTTGCAAACCTTCTTCCTCAGAATCATAACTAAAAACAACACAAGACGTTCCTACTTCTTCTTCATCATCATTCTCACACTCTTTAAACCTCTTCCTAGGGCTATGGAACTCGGAACCAGACTCTTCAACATGCCTACACCCAAAAGCCACTGCTCTGTTACGTTTTGTGCACTTTCCATTTTCCAACAAACCCTTTAATCCATCTCCTAGCTCATGCAATATACCCCCATAACACCCTTTCTTCTTACTCTCCCCATCATCCCAGTTTACAATCCTCGACTTCTCCACCGCCCATTTCTCCATCCGGTCCAAATACTTGGAGTAAACCAACCTCAAAGATGGAGATACTGAGCAGTCGAACCCTAACCTCTCAGCCACTGAGTCCCACAACCCTTTCTTAGATACAGAATCAAACCCTTCTCTCTCCCTCACCAACACAAACAGCTTAAACAAATCAACTGTCTTGCCTTCACCGAGAACTGCAGGGAGAGGCCTGTTATTACCCTCTTCCTCAAGAAAGATCAACAAAGCTTCATCAAACAATCTCTTTAACCTCTCCTCACATTCATCAGATACATCAACGTCAACATCAATGTATGAGCATGAAGTACTATTGAAACTTGACCATCCTGCCATTAAACCCTTCACCTCAAGTTCCCAGCTTGCATCCTCTAATCAAGAACGGTTTCTCCTTTTCAATTAACCTAAACAAATAAACACAACAGATTTATTCATTGAGCATTTCTGCAGAAGGGTCAGAAAAAAAAATCAGATCTTTGCGTTTCTTGATTTCTGATTATCCGGGTTGTTCTCTATTGGATTTGGATTCAGTCTTTACCTGGGGATTCGATCTTCAGAAGTATAGATGGAATAGGTTTCTAAGTAATCCTGCTCATGGTTCTACCTCCACCATCGTTGTTACAGAAGTGACAAGACAAAAGGTACAAAATATGAGATCAATGTAGATGACATGCAAGCTCTTAAACAAGAACCTAGGGTTGGGCATTAGGGTTTTCGGTTCCGATTCATTCCGGTTTTATCAAGTTAATATATTTTATAATCATATCAGTAGTTGATTCAGTTCTATTTGGATCGGTTCTTATCAGTTTTGTTAAATTTCGGATTTATAATTTTAAAATTGGTTAATATATGATAGTTAGTATAATTTCAGTTTCCACTTCGATTTAAATTGGTTCAATCGGGTAACCGATATGGTTTAGGTAGAAACTGAAATCAAACCGACATATACAATTTTAAATAATAAAATCGTTAAATAAAATTTTATACATTAACCAATTTATTATGGGTCAGTTTTGGTTTGGATAATTGGTCTACAAACATTCTTGTTTTTTTTTTTGTTAATAGTTTGTATTATAATTCAGTTGAGAATATGAAACAAACAATATAATGGCTTTTTGTAGTTTTAAATCATTAAAACTATTAAAAATAAAAATTAAGATTTTTATTATATTTAATTTATTTTAATTTTCATAATTTACTATGATAAATATTTAAATAAATATTCATTTCATATTTAAAGTCAAATATTGATTTTATAGTTAATATTTATTTAATTTATACTTAATTTTATTTTGTAATTATTTTTATAACAGGTTTTTAGTGCAATTCTCTCAAATGGCTATTTTTAGGTTTTTTTAACGAAAAGAATCCCAAGAAAGAAAATGTCTACGATAGCTTTATTAGAAAGGCTAAAGACTATACTACTCTTTGTTTTATACATATATAAATATAAATAAATTATAATTAAAAATGTTCTTTTAAATAGTTTCCAATTATATGTTTTAAAATTCAAATGTTTTATAAGAAAAATTATTTTTTTTAATTCAAAAATGATTTTTTAAATTGTTTTGAAATTTTATATTTATTTATTTATTTACTCCACCCCCAAAGTTCTACTCGTTAACTCTAAATCCTAAGTTCAGATTAGTTAACCATTTGGAAGCTCCCCCCTCCCTTTTTGGTCCACTGGTTTAATTAAGAGTTCATTAATGTTTGTACACCGGGATATATGAGTTTTAAGTCTCAAAGAAGGTAAATTATGCCAAATAAAGAAGATATGTCCTACAGCATAGCGTAAAGAATTATAACAAGCATGGATCGTTTAGGACGGCTCAAATGATATAATCAGACGTGATTTTTCATAAGGTAGTTAGAATAATCGATTGTATTATCGTTTGTAATCTTTCTCGTAATTTGTAATTATATAATTATCCAACATTAAGAAAAAATTAGTAACCCTATGAATATAAATATATATATATTTACCATTTAATAAAAATCTATTTTGATCATTCTCTTTCTCTGAAACTCCTTCTTCTTGGTGAAAAGAAACAAAAAACAATTATCCAAGAACTTCTCAACAATCTATCAACTAATTTTAATAATGTTAGTGACATTTCACAAAAATAAGTAAACTTAATTCAATATAATCTATTTTTTAATTTATAGTTGAACTAAGTTGAATCCGATTAAACCCCAATGAACCATGGTGAACTAGATCCAAAACATAGATTAAGAACACACTATTTCTTAATAGTTTCGAAAACATTTCAGTAGACTAATGTTTATCAAACCTTTTTATAAGCCGGAATCTCCAAAAAGAACTCATAATTTCAAATATATAGTTTTTTTGCTTTGCAAAAAGAAAAAAAACTTCAAAACTTAAAATTTTAAGTTTTGAAGAGTGAAACTCTATATTTGAAGTTTCAATATTCAAAACTCTAAATCTAAAGTTTCATTTATGTAATTGCATTTTGGTTCTTACAATTACAAATAAAATTTATAACCCTTAAATATTTTCTTGTTTATCTTTTTAATCTTTAAAATTTTTTGTATCGCATAAATATTTCAAATTAACTTTTACTTTTTATAAATTTAAGTTTTATACATAAAACTAAATAAAAATATATAATGAAATTTAAAATATGTGCTTATAGTTTAATATTTTTAAAAATTTTAAAACTAAAATTAGACAAAAATAATGTGGTTTTCTGCTTGTAGTTAATATTTAATCATGTATTAGTATTAGTATTTATATACAAGAGATTTTTCCCGGTTACGCCCGGTTTTTTCCCCTATATTAGTTTAGTTTATTATAGAGTGTTTTAAATTTTACACTTATACTGAATATGGTGCATAAATTATTAGATAAATTCACAATTTCTTGTATTGTTTCTGTTGACTTTAAATTTAAAATTATTAAAATTAGTTTCTTTCAATATCAAAATACATTTAAGTTGGTAACAAATTGTATAAAAAACCTTGTTCTAAAAATCGTCCGAGTAGCTGATTAATCGGCCGAGTAAACGTGACTCGTGTGGCTAGCGTAGCGAATTGGATCACTGCGGTTGAGTTATACCTTGACCCGAGTAATGAACGTAGTCAACATAGAAATTGAAACTCCTCCGCGTAATTGAACAAAGCGCTTGGCCCAAATTTCACCGTTTGATTCATTTTTGGTCCAAATTAAATTTTCTTTTGCCCAATCAAAATTCAACACAATTACTAGCATATCTTTGCCACAAAATTATTTTTACGAAAAAAAAGAAATTCTAAATTTCTCTAATACCCTACGTGTTTCTAATAATATGTTAAAAGAACTTTAGATTGGCGAGTGTTGTATAGATCATGTTTGTGTTCCTGTTTTACGTTTTGATTCTTTATGTTTTTAAGTTTTAATCCATTTTCACTATTTTTGTAGTCTTGATTCTTCTTCTTTTGTTCTACTGTAGTTTAAATACAGAAAGGTTGCGGTTATCAGTATATAAAAAACTGTATTCATTTTTGTAGGCATGCAACGTTGTAAGTACAAAATTTTTATGGTCTGTGGATTCATGTGGCATTCTCAATAAAAAAATATACATTTAACTAGTTAGAATTTGTTAGTTTTGTGTTACACTGTAATTTTGTATTGTGACATAATTGGTATATATTTTCTCAAAAAAGATCGAATTGGTATATATTTATAAATCCATGCATTTTAGTATTAATAATGTCTCTTCTATAAACATGTATTATAAAAAGTTTTGTATTATATGTATAAAATGTGATTTTATACACATAAATGGACAAAAAAATTTCTCTCCGCGTACTCTCCGATTTTTTTTCCGATTTTTTAATAAACCGCTAGGCGCTTATGTGCCGCACGCGTAGCGCCTAGCGAGTTTCCGAACAAGGATAAAAAATAAATGAAAATTTTAGTTAAAACTAAACTATTTTTGTTATCTCGTTTATTTGAATTTTATGTAAATGATTAAATTAACGTATAACTCAAACAGTGTTTTAACAGTAAATTCAACCATTATATATTTTAAAATTTTAATATTTATTATTTATTATTTGGTGATAAGAAAATATATATGATTTATTTCGGTCTTCGGTGTTAAGGTAGTAATGGAATGAAGAACAATTGAAATCTAAAAGTACTATACATTAAAAGAATCCTGAAATAGTGTCAAATAATTTTGTTTCCATGCAGCAAAACAAAATATTAAAAAAATATAATAATATTCTCTAAGAGATATTTGTATGTTTTTCCTAAGAAAGTACAAATAATGTAGTTGATTTTTTTTAAAAAAAGATTGACAATTTATGTCTTTATTTCATATTTCAATGATTGTTCTCGGTCATTCTCACTAATGGAATTTTCCGTCATGAAAAAAGATTTAAAATGTTCTGAAAATTTCTTATTTGTTCTTTTCTTTCTGTAAACATCCAGATGTCTCCTCCTTGAGCCTGTACAACGCCATTTCTTGCTTCTTGAAGTAACAACGATCATCTTCGTCCACCAATAATGTGATAGTCCGAAATTGCTCTTGTCTGATAGTATCCCAGATTTGCAGCTTAATTCTTTTAACTCTAGAGCCCGTATCTTGAGATTAATTCTGCCAACCGAAAATATAACTTGAGTGGCTGTTGACCACTACAAAGAGCACTTACGAAGAGTGTCATGTATCAAATAAATCATACTTGGTAGTTGTAATGGAAGAGATCAACATGGTTCTTTTCGCAAGTCGTATGATTGAGGAGAATGCTTCTCTTCAATTACGTCTTTTTCATTTCTTTGATCCAGTTCTGTTTAGTCAAGAAATGAAAAGAGAAACATAAATTTAAAAATATACTATGATTTAAGAAGATAAGATATGATAGGAACATTATGAGATTATTTTATTATGGAGAAAACATAGAGAGATGTAACACCCACCACTGACGAAACTAGACTAAGATGTGGCGCTACAATAAAAAAATCTAAAGAGAGTGTTCATTTATAATTCGACTTTCGTTTTACCAAACAAAAACTCTCTTTAATAGAAGTCAAATAATATAAGCGTTTTTTAAAGAAATCAAATCGATTATCGAACTAAGGAAGGTGGTTGATTTTTGTACCAAAACTTTTTTGTGAAAAGAGAGAGATTAAAAAGGGCAACTGCATATGTAATGACATGGTCTAAATATTTTTACCAAATATTTTTGCCAAAGAAACGACTTGTCATTAATTTAGTATTTAATTGGTTGATTAAATGTGCTGAGGTAGACACTCTAGATGTTGACTATATTCTCCTTTTAGTATTGTAAGAAAATTTTATATTTTAGTGTAAGATTTTTATGAATTAATATTGTTGTACAATTTATATATATATGTGGGTTTGTTATTCATAAGTGTTTTATGAATTTACATTAACTATGACAAATATAAAAATTATAATGTAAAATATAAATAATTTTAGAATTAGATTTGAAGTTTTGATTTTGTAGAAAAACACCTTGAAACACACAGAATTTTGGAAACTTTAAAATAAAAAAGACTTTTGGAGATGTTCTAAGAGAGATAAAAGCTCTTCAGATATAAGCATAATCAAATACAATAATTGGAAGCAAATAGTAAAAGCAATACACAGATACCCAAGTGTCCAAGAGGGGAAGTCACACAAACAGAGGTCTTAATACATACACTAATCGAGTAAAGAAAAAGAGGAAACAATGAATGTGAAGATGTTCGGTTTTTTTGAAACCTTTTGACAACAATGGACTCATCAAGCCTTGAAGAGAAGCTCGACGGCTTCGAAGAAGAGAGGCGCAATCTCAGGAGTGGGAGTTTTCACTGCACATTTGAGACCTGGTTGGCCCACCATTGCAGTGAGCTCGATCAACAATGGTAGATCTCTCGGAACCTTTGCAGATAAATAGATCACGTCTTGGTTCCCATTCTTGCGCTTCGCAATGAAAAACATGTTGTAAGTTGTCAGCAAATCAATAGCTGATTCAACGCTCGTGATGGTGATCCCTGGAAATTCTCTTTGAACTTCGTTGGAGTCTGGTAACGACCTCCATGTCTGAAAAACACAAACCAGAATGTTTAAAAAACAAGCCCACTATGGCCGATTTGGATTTACGTTGGTTTATAAGGATATTTGGTACAATGTTATGTTACCTCGAGGAAGGTTCCACGTTCCATTCTACCGTCTTCACTGAAAAGAGCATGAAGTACAATCTTATCGTTGAAGTACCAAACAGGCTGCTGATTGTTTTTGACAGCTACTTGTAAGAGCGAGCTTGGAGGTTCAGCAGACAAATTCTGCAACAAGACCATAGGTAGCAGTGTCCTGGCAGATGTTCCTGGTTGCAAAGGCGCAATCTGAAAACAGTAAAATCAAGGGATGTCGGCTTAAAATTGTCAGACCTTAAGTTTCAGACGTAAGACTAGATGCAGATATAGTTTTACCTGAAGAGGTCCAGCAGCTGCAAGACCAAATGTGTTCTTGTTGAACTGAATCATGAAACCATCAAGTACCGCCTGTGTGTTGTTCTCGAAGAGCATGCTGTAGAATACTTGTCCATCCCTTCGGGTTAGTTGAGCGCTTATCTGCAGACCTTGACCGGTTGAAGCCGACACGACAACTGGCAGTGGAGGACTGCGAACAAGTTCATAAGATTTGATAAGACGACAAGAATAGACCAAATGAAATTAACTAAATTTCATCATTCAAGTCATAACTCACCCAGAAGGAGTCGTGGGTTCATCAACCGGGACAATTGCGGCATTATCCAAACCCATCAAGTCACCAAGCAGATCAGGCACAGGAGCTGGGGCCGCCGGTGCAGGAACTGGTTGTCTTCCTGCAGGGTGTGCGACATTGCCCATGGTAGCTGGAGGGGAAGCTGCACTATCAGCCGGGTTACCAGATGAATATCCTGCTTCGCTTCCTTCAGCAAAGTCCTCGTCCTCTGTTTTCTGAACTGTGGTTTTCAAGCGGGTCACAAAAGCCTCTGGCGGTTTGTGGTACACAGAGGATAAGGTGGAAATGTTTGTAAGCAGCTCGTCAAGGAGTGATGGCTCGAGTTGGTTAGAGTCGTCAGTAATCACGGGCTTTTCAGCTAAGACAACATCCTTCGCCGCCTAATAAAAGAGAAATGATGATTTTAGCAAAACACATCTCAGGATAACAGAAAGAGAGCTCAAATCTCAGATAAACGATTGTGAATATATTCATTCTGGAGTAGCTGAGTATTAGAAAGCTATAAAAATATCAATGTAACACACACTTCAGGATCAGTAGATAGAAGACGCCAGTATATGTATGCACGATCTCTGAGATCAGGATTGTCCGTCTCCACGGTAGCGTTATTCAAGACAACCTGAAAACATAAAACATGTTGGTAAAAAAGATGTCTCTGCCTTCACATACACGTACATGGACCGATCGTTATAACAGCAGTGAGCATGAACAAGGGAGAACCTGAATCATTTGTTGAGGCCCTTCAGTTGGCTTCTTCAGGAATAGCTTAACAGTAGCAGTTAGAAGCTGCAGCTGGACCTGCGCTGGTTCCTCAGGAAAACTCTCAAGGAAACTTTCAAGAAGCTCATCAGCATTGTCAATTCTTTCAGCATATTCACCAATGATCCATATCATGGATGCCTTACATGATACAAACAGATTATTTAAGTTCAAGTGAAGATGGGAAACTTCAACGTTACAAACCAAGAATTACCTTAGCTTCTGGTTCATCCAAAGTGTCTAAACTCTCACAGAGTGTGGCAATTATGGACTCATACCTGTATATTATTTTGAATATCATAACCAAAAAACTTGAAGATTTTCAACATCTCATTACGTCAGTGACTGAGAAATATCAACTTACGTGTTTGGATATCTTCTGAAGATATCTTTGATAACAATAATGGCTTCCTGGACAACATAATTAACTTTGATCTTGATCAACTCAAGCAAAACACTGATGCAACGTTCGGCTGCTCTCTCTAGTTTGATAGCACATCGGCCTATCGCACGAACAGCCCTTCTAACAAAATCAACATCTACTTCCGTTGCATACTCTTTGAACTCCAGAAGAACCTACAGTAGCATTTTCCAAGAGTTATAAAGATATGTACCAACAATAATCGGGATGTAATACAGATGGTTTGGTGAGGATACCTGGTCTATGTTTCTGTCTGACGCAAGCTTTATCATAATCTCCAACTTCTCCATCTTAACATAAATCGGGTCGTTATACTTGCAGAAGAAAACCTAAAGAATAAAATATGCATATCATTTGCAACATAATTTCGAAATGTTACGAAGCTATGGGGCACCGGTCAGCTGCTTATTGTGAATTATCTATGGGGTACAGGTCAAGCTACCTTAATTTCATGGGCAAGGATAGTGGGTCGTTTCTGAACAATAAGATTAATGTTACGAAGTGCAACATATTGTATCTCAGGTTCGGCAGAAAGCAATGTAACAAGGGGTGGAGCCATCTTCTTGCAAAGATTTCGAATCACGTCTGTACTAGTAATAAGTTCCATTTGTTGAAGGATCATCTGCAGAGGTAATTGTCAAAAATAAATACGTAGTGCAAAAGGGAGTAGTAGTGTAGACGCAAATTTAGCTAGGAACCGGTTAGCAACAGTGGAAAACATTACTATGAAAGTCACCCACCTTAACAGCTGAAAGCACAACAGCGCAGTTTGCATGTTGCAACCTTGGCGTGACTCTCTCAACAATATTTTCAGCCTCACGGGGATCAGCTGCTTTATACCTCGATAGAGCATCTAAGATAAAAACTTGACCCCACCTGTAAAGATCATCATAATCAGTACTAAAAGTGGATCTAGCAAAAGCTTATCGAGTTCACTCTTTTATGGATCTCTTCCCCAGCGTTCAAAGACACTTGGTTCTTTGCCTGCCGAGTAAATCTTCTAACAAAAATAATACTTAACCGCCGCTTGGAGATAGATACAATGGCAATGCTTAAGGAAACAAGGACATAAACATTTCATAACTCATCAACATTCCACAAACACAGATCTAGGCCAATACTCTATAAATTCTTAAAGCGTACAATGAATGACCAATATATTCAATATCAAACAGAATGCGGTGAAGCTACAGAAATAGAAATAAGGAGAGGACTTACTCAGTGCATTCATTTAAAGCGGTAAGGAGCTTTGTAAGCGTAGTACTATTGATCTCAAATATGGGGCTAGTACTATTCTCTTGGATCTCAGCAAGGGCTGCTACAGCATTGGCAACAACCATCGGATTATTATCTGATATCAGATCCTTCAAAGCGTCAAGGAAACCCCTATCCTCAACCAATTCAGCATTTATGTCATAAAGCTTAGCAACGCAAATAGCAGCTGTCTTCCGGACATATGGATCATCATCCTAAAGAAAAAATTATAAAAAAATACTAGTCAAAATGAAACAGATTCTTCAGGACAATAGATATGTATTCCATCGAGTTCAAATGAAGAGGCAGCATTTAAAGCTCAACCTTTAGAGAAAAAAAAAAGCTCAACCTTTAGGCACTTTTGCAGAGGATCACATAGATATTCCGTGATTTTGTCGACACGAATGCAGCCCATTGTCCGCACAGCAAGAGCGCGGATCAGCGGATTTGGATCTTGTGAGTCCTGCAGATTAGATCACAAAACCAACAATTTTGTAAAGATCATTTAACAAGTCCCGTTCTTTAATGTTTTCTCATCCAGTATGTCAAAACTATAGGTCAGAAGCTTGAGTGTTACCTTAACAAAGGTATTCACTGCAAGAATAGCAAGATCTGGCTGGCTTTTCGCGTAATTGATGAGATAGAGATAAACAAGCTTCTTCAGCTCCAGATTTTCCGTTTGCATGCAATTGACTACATCAGTGAAAAGTGATGAAACATCCTTCCCAACTGTCATCGCCGCAATAACCTTCTTTACTGCGTCTTTTCTCTTATCCTACAAAATCGAGAGTTTACAAATAAAAAGGGTAAAACAAAACTGAAGCCAAGAAATAAAAGAGCATCCTTCCTTTCTTTTACATCAATAACATAACATATGCATCTTACGGAACAGCTACTTTGATTAAGAAATTCTACATAAAAACCAAGAATGCAACAATTGAAAAACGGACTGAAAAAAAAAACAGAACAGCCCCCTAATTCTTGTTATCCCTAATCAATTACATAACATATAACCATAACGTACGGAGACTACAGATTAGGTTCAAATCCAGACAACACAGATCTAACCAAATTATGTAATAATGGCGGATCAAAGATCGACGGATCGTAGATGTAATAATGGTGGATCACAGATCCCAGACATAGACTGTAAAAGCATAGACAAGAGTGAAATCAGATGAAGGAACCTTGTACTGCGAATTAAGCTCCTCCTTGAGCTCAGGGATCTCTCCCTTCTTCGTCGTCGAGAAGTATTTCGAATCGTGACCGCTCATCGCTCTTTCTTCTCCGAGATTTTGTTAGAGAGAGGCAGACGATGACTGGGGAAATGGTGGAAACGGAAGACTCCGGTAGCTGCTTTACTCGACTAACGGGCCGATTGATTAATGGGCTCTCTGGTAGTTTCAGCCCTTTTCTTAATTTCTCTTGTGTGGCTTTTGAAAATTAGTTTTTTTTTTTGTCAATTTGAAAATTAGTTAAATTAATATTCTATGTTTCATAATCAAGAAGGTTTAGAAAAATTTATGGGCAAATCTCCAAAATAGCACATTTCTAAGTTTATGTCACAAAAATAGTCTTCAAAAACTAAAATGGCCAAAATAGCATTTTATCTTTTAAAAATTTAAATTTTTATTTATTTTTCAAAAATTGAAATCTTATTCCCAAAACCCTACTCCCCAACTCTAAACCTTAAAATCTAAATTCTAAACGCCAAACCCTAAACTCTAAACCCTAAACCCTAAACCGTAAATCCCACCCCTCAACCCTAAACCCTAATGTCTAAATTAATTTATCATTGGGATATAGGTATATATTTATCTCTTTTGATAAAATATTAAGTGTTATTTTGGTCATTTTTATTCTTAAGTACTATATTTGTGACAAACCTTTTTAGTGTTATTTTAGTCATTTTCTCAAAATTTATTTCAAAATATAATATAAGTAGTTTTAGCTGGTGTCATTCTATTATGTATTTTAATAGAAGTTAAATCTAAGAACAATCCATCCTTATTCGACTAATGATTCTAAATTTTATTTTGAAATCTAGTGTTATTGAATATGATATTTATAATTATTAGTTAAATTAATATTCTCTATGTTTCATAATCAAGAAATTTTAGAAAAAAATATTTCAAAATATAATATAAACAGTTATAATATAGGATTTGTTAACTTTTCAATGCAACTTTAAATGTATTAGATATCGTGTAAGCAATTACATTATATAGGTTTTTTTTTACAACAAATTTCATTAATTAATGGGTTTCCATTACAAAAGAGTTTAAAGCCTGTTTATCTAAGCTGTCTTCAAAAGAAAGGGTCTATCGATGGCTGAACCTAAACATATACGACTCAAAGTTTTTTGACAAAAGGGAAACATCAGAACATATACTATGAATATCCGAGAAGGCGAGAGAGCCATTAACTGCTCCTACCAACTGCTTTAAGTCTGAATTAAATACTACTTTGACCCTGATCTCAGTGCATGATTCACTGCATATCGTATTGCTAGCCCCTCAGCTACGAGAAGCGAAATCACAAATGCATGATGGAGACTTTGAGATGAGATCATCTCTTCCGGTGTGTGTAGAAACTCCAAGCCAATCCCACCACATTTACTTCTTTCTTCCAAGCCGCATCGAATTTGCATATGAGCGTGTCAATTGGGGCTGGCTGACCTGGGTGATGCGATTTTCAGTTCCAGCTTTGGGTGAGGCTGCACATCTTTCCATTATCGTGCATCACAGACTGATTTAAGGGAAATTTCCAGTGCTGTGAATCTTCTCTTTTCAAAGATAAGGATATTTCGGAAGATCTAGATTTCCCATAGGACCCATGGCGGCAGAGAAGCTTTTCTGAGACCAGTGGGGGGTGGGAGGGATCAGCTTTACTCTTTCTTTCCAACAGGCATGGAAGCTCGTCGGTATCAAGCCCTGAATTCCACTTGAAACAGGTAAAAGCTCCCATACTTGCTTAGCGAATGGACATGTAAAGAATAGGTGAAGTACAGCTTCATTCTCGTCACAATGGATGCATTTAGGACTAGAAACAATCTTCTTTATCGCTAGGTTTTCTCCAATAGTGAGGGCTCCTCGTTTTGCTTTCCATATGAAGAGTTTGACCTTAGGGGCTGTTGTTACTTTCCAAACATCTTGAACCAAGCATGTACTATCTCCTAGGTTAGTTCCGCTTTGGCTTGCTTAATTTCGAAGCCATCGTAGTACCCTGTCTTTGCTATGTAAGCGCCAGAATTCTTTTTCATCCATATCCTCTTGTCTTCTCCCCCTAACATACTAGGTTTTATACTCAAGATAGGTTCCAATATGTGTGCGGATAGAGTCACGATGAACTCCTTATCCCATTCTTTAGAGTTTTCCAAGAACTAATTTGCAACCTTTCTGTTAGCAAACTCTTCAGGGGCTAGTCCCATTGGGCATTTGACATTCCTTAGTCGTGGAGGAGAGCCAAGCATCATTCCAAACTTGTGCATTCTCCCCATGTCCAACCGACCAGCCTAGGTGCTTATCAAGTAGGTTTCTTCATATGAGTATTCCTCTCCAACCGTGGGAGCAGCAAGCTGGGGTTCCACCGTGAGGAAATCAGCATCAGGACAGCACTTCCCCGTTAAGACACAGGCCATGAGGCAATCTGGTTTTGTGATAATTTGCCATCCGTTTTTGGCCAAAAAGACATCATTGAAGTATTGGATGTCTCTAAAACCCAGACCCCCTTTTTTTTTGAATTTCACCATGGTCTTCCAAGACACCCAAGCCATCTTCTTTACTTCCTCCTTGTCGTCACACTAGAACCGGGTTAGGGCTGACTGGATGCGCTTGCATAGGTATTAAGGTAGCTTGAAGCACAACATAGAATGATTGGGCATAAAGGAGAGGACACTTTTTTAGGAGAGCTAGTTTTTCTGCTGCAGATAGGTGTCTCGTAGACCGGCTGACCGCTTTTTTTGTCAGATTTTATCGACAATACTTGTAAATAGGTCTCTTTTTTCCCTTCCAGGATGTTCAGAAAAATCCAAATACTTCATAACTCCTCCTTCACATTGAATCTCAAGAGCGGATTACCTTTTGTTTTAGTTCCGGGGAGGCTTTGTTCGAGAAAGTGATCACCGATTTAGCTTGATTAATACGTTGGCTCGAGGCAGCTTCGTATTGCTTAAGAATTCCAATGAGGGTAGAGACAATGTTTACACTCGTTTTGCAGAAGAATAAGGTGTCATCAGCAAACAGTAGGTGGTTAACTCTAGGGCTTCTCTTTGTTACCTTTATACCCTGCATTGCTCCTTCCTCCTGAGCTTTTTTACACAATCCAAACAGAACTTCACTTCAAAGAATGAAGATGTAGGGTGATAACGGGTCTCCTTGTCTTATGCCCCTCTCTGGAATGACAAGTCCTTGCGCTGATTCATTTATGAGGAAGGAGAATGACACTGTCTTGATACACTACATAATCCAGTTGGTTCATTTGGAGTGAAAGCCCAATCGAGTGAATACTGATTCTATGTAGTCCCACTCCAACCTGTCGTAGGCTTTGCTCATGTCAGTCTTGACTGCCATTGAAAAATGCTTTGCCGCCTTGAAGGTTTTCAAGAAGTATAAAACTTCATGGGAAATAAGAACATTATCTGTGATTATTTGGCCTCGGACAAACACATATTGATTTTCCGAGATTAGGCAGTTAAGGACCCTTTTGAGCCGGTTAGCTAGAAATTTGGAGATTATTTTGTAGTAGACATTGGATAACGCAACTGGTCTGTAATCTACGACCTTCTTTACCGGTCCGCCCTTAGGAATTAATCGGAGATGAGTTTGATTGATATGTCTCGGAAGGTTCCCTGAGTGAAAAAATTCGTGTATTCCAGTCACAATGTCATCTCCTGTTGACAGCCTAATTAGCCTGGAAAAAGCTAGCAGAGAAGCCAACCGAGCCGGGAGCTTTGTCTGGGTGTATAGATAGGAGGGCTTCATGGATTTCTTGGCGGGATGGTTCCATAATGAGCTGTGCGTTTTCCTCCTCTGACATCTTAGGTATAATGGCATCAGCTAAGATTTGATCTCTCTCACCTGGGACAGAGGTGAAGAGGGTCTGGAAATAGTTAACAACCATCTCCGTGATTTCTTCTTCCGTGAAGACATCAGATCCCTCTGCGTTTTCTATAACCGTGAATGAGTTAAACGATTTCCTCCCTTTAGTGATTGCATGGAAATATCTATAGTTTTTATCACCAAGTCTGAGCCATAAATTGCGGCTACGTTGCTTCCAATAGTCTTCTTCCAATAGATATGCTTGCCTTTAGTCTTCATTAATCTTCTGAAGAAACTCTTCATTATTATAGGGCTTGTCATTGATCTTTCCAGGTCTTTCTTCCTTTCCTCAATAAGGAGTATGCTATTCATGTGTTGTTCTCGTTCCACTTGATCAAGGCAGATCTAACTACTGCAATTTTTTCCCCAGTCCTCCGAGTCAATTTCCAAGTTTCATCTATCAGAGCTTTGACCTCAGGGTTGTCTTAGATTCTTCGATCAAATCTAAAGAGGCCCTTGCCCTTAAGTTTCCTCCTATCGAAGAAAGTAAAGATCAGTTTGTGATCTGAGCCTTCATAATTCAAATTCTCACAGAAACCATGATTAAAGGTTTCAAACCACATGGAGTTAGCGATGGACTGTCCAATCTACATCTCATTACATGGTCACCTCTTACACCTCGCTAAGATAGGAAGTCACCACAATGTGAGAAGTCATAAAAATCTGACTCTAAGAGGAAGGTTCTAAAGTCGATAAAATTATCTCCAGCTCTAAGACTCTCTCCCTCTTTCTCCAGGTTGCTTGTTATATCATTAAAATCACCTGAAACAAACCAAGGTGCTTTTCTGAGACCTGCTTTAGCCGTCGGTCCTTTCATATTTCTTTCCTCGCTTTGTGGTCTGTATCTCCATATATAAATTTAGTGTAGAATATCTTTTTCTTTCAGAAAAGTCCTAGCCCTCCTCCACCATGACCAGTCGGTGGGATCAAAAGGGAGTTGGGATAAGCCAGCGAAGCACACTTTCGGAGAACAAACACACTGCTATTTTTCGTCTCCAAGAGAAATAAAACATCAGGAGAGACCTTTTTGTGGATCTCTCTTAATCTCTGAACTGTCATGGGATTCCCCAACCCTTGGTAGTTCCAGCTCACCATCTTTAAGGAACGAAAGTGGGTGGGTCCCAAAAATCCACTAATCTCCGCACCACCGCTGGAATGATTCTGGTTCGAGGTTG